GGACTAAGTGGGGACCAGGCCTTAGACTCTATGAATCTATCATCGAAATATTTTTGCACAGATGAGCTGTGTGCCTGGCTGGTAGAGAGCTCAGCCTGGCCATTGCAGCTCTATTCCCTACTGTATGTTTCCTAAGGTTTTCTCCAGAAAGTTTGGGGCTTTCTGCTGTTTCCCTTAGGAGACCATTCTACCGCCTGATAGATCTCAGTGTTAGGAAGTTTTTCCTGATAGTCCTGATTTTTTTCTTGACTACTGCTCTGCTGCTAATTTTAGTTTTTACCTCTCCTACCCAGGGCCACATAAGTTTTTGGGGCGCCTGGGATGAAAAGTGAAACTGAACCCCCACCTTCCAAAAAGCCTGGTTCATAGGCCCCTACATCCATGCCCTCTCAGGAGCCGCCTCCATTGAGGGAGCCCCCTACCTTTTCCACCCCACTTCTTACCTCGCCTTTCCCAGCTAGTGAGACTTGCTCTCAGGTGCCAGGTCCATCCTGCTTCCTGACTGGACCCCAGCACTGTGAGAAGCCACCCTGGTTTTGGCAGCCAGCAGACGAGGGCTCAGCATGTGTACACACACCAGATTGCCACACCACTCAACTCTGGGCCAGCCACCCCCTGCCTCCTGTGATGACAGCAGGGCAACGAGACCAAACCTGTGCAAGGCTCCAATCCCACATGCCAGGTTGCATATTGTTCCATGGGTATGGGGCCCTCTCCAGTGGATGGCCCAGTGCGAACTGCCTCTTTTGCCTCCCCTTCTGGGGAGCCCTGCACCTACCACCTTGCCTAATTTCTCTCTATCCTTGGTGTTGGAACTCTTCAAGTATTAGCAGGTTCTTAACATGTCTCTTCTCTATTCTCTCTTAGCCAAACCATGACTTTGCATCTTGAGGAAACAGACGAAAACCCAAATATCTGAACAACCAAGACATGCATCTGCCTAAAGCATATAAACTCAAAACCATATATCTCTAACCCAGGTACCTCTGTCGTCTGCCCCTTCTAGGTGTATATTATATCCTCACTTGCCTGCCATGCCTACCATTTAGGTAGTAAGGCGAGGGTGGTGGCTTCACAGACTACTTTGCAGAAGGTGTTCCATGCGTATGGTGCGGCGTGGAAGAAAGCACAAAGGTGTTTGTGGGAGAAGCAGACAAATGGGCATTACTGATGGAGTTGAGCAGGTACAGGAACAACTCACTAAGGGGCCCTGATCCTCTCCCATTGTCGTCAGTGGTTCAGGATCAAGCCCTAAGAATACAAGAGCAGGTAAGCAGGGAGGATCAGAGGAGTGAAGAGACCCGAAGCTGCAATGCTCACATAGCCCGAAAGAATTTGATTGCGACCCCAAACCAGGCAAAACCGAGAAGTTTTGTTTGCATTTTGCTTTAAGGGTTTGGGGATCATTGAAACCCCCAAATCTGAAACAAACAAACAATAAAAGTTTGAAAACTGAAACAAACAAACAATAAAAGTCCAGGGCAAAGCCCTGTGAACCGAACCCATGGAATTTCATGCAGATCTGGTTATTGCTGGGTTTTAAAAGATTCTCTTTAACCAGGCCGTGTTCAGTGATCAGGTGTCAATGGGATAAAAGGACCAGATGTGGAAATGGTAACATATTTTGCAGTGCACTGTCAAAGTGCTGTGCAGGGAAGAACAAAGGCATAATCCGATGCTGAGACACGTCTGCTTTGTTTCCACTGTAAACATTCTCCAGAGGAAGAATCTATTAGGGTGCATTTAGTTCTAAGCGAGCATTTTTATGCAGTTGAAAGAAATTGGCTTATGCCATTTGCCTACAGAAGACAACTGATGCACTTGCTACTAAGAGACATTTGATTTCTCTGCTTGGCAACTTTAGTTCATTTTACAGGCTGTTAAAAATCTGAGGGACTGTATATCTCAGAGGACATTTAAAATGTAGCACGCTTATTTTTAAACTAGAAGTGAGATCTTTGGACGACAACTTGTCTGGAGCCACGCTGCTTCAAACTGTCACGGGAGAGTATTTTTGTCCTTATAGTAACTTATAATTAGGTTTCTTTTCAGCGTGAAACTCTCCAGATCCACACTCATGCCTAAGACCTGTCAAAATACACGAGGGCTTGATGGGAATAAATCCAAAGCAGCATTGCACAGAAAGAGGTGTCACAGCTAGAGGTTTCTTTCTGTCTTTGAATAAGGACAGAAACAAGAAATTACTTTAGGGCCACACCTTGCAGTTGCCAGTTAGTCAACACCCTTGGATGTCCAATTATGCCCATTCCTATCTAAGGGTATGTCTACACTACGAGAGTAGTTCGATTTTACTTAAAGCGAATTTGTGGAACTTATATTACAAAGTCGAACGTGTGTATCCACACTAAGGACAGTAATTCGACTTTGTGAGTCCACACTAATGGGGCTAGCGTCGACATTGAAAGCGGTGCACAGTGGGCAGCTATCCCACAGTTCCTGCAGTCCCCGCTGCCCATTGGAATTCTGGGTCGAGCCCCCAATGCCTGCTGGGGCAAAAAATGTGTCGAGGGTGGTTTGGGGAAACTGTTGACATTCAACCCTCACTCCCGCCTTCCCTCTGTGAAAGCGCCGGCGGGTCATCAGTTCGCGCACTTTTCTGGTGATTGACAGTGCGGACGCCACAGTACTGCGAGCATGGAGCCTGCTGCGATCGTCGCTGCAGTTATGGCCGTTGTCAACACCTCGCGCCTTATCATCCACCTTTTTCAAAGGCAGATGCTGAGAAATCGGGCGAAGAGGCTACGGCAGCGTGGTGAGGACATTAAGTCTGAGAGGGGCACAGACCTCTCACAAAGCACGGGACCCCGCGCCGTGAACATCATGGTGGCAATGGGTCATGTTGATGCTGTGGAACGGCGATTCTGGGCCCGGGAAACAAGCACGGACTGGTGGGACCGCATAGTGCTGCAGGTCTGGGATGAATCACAGTGGCTGCGAAACTTTCGGATGCGTAAGGGAACTTTCCTGTGAGTTGCTGTCCCCTGCCCTGAAGCGCAAGGACACCCGGATGCGAGCAGCCCTGACTGTCCAGAAGCGAGTGGCCATAGCCCTCTGGAAGCTTGCAACGCCAGACAGCTACCAGTCAGTCGCGAACCAATTTGGAGTGGGCAAATCTACCGTGGGGGTTGCTGTGATGCAAGTAGCCAACGCCATCGTTGAGCTACTGCTCTCAAAGGTAGTGACCCTGGGAAACGTGCAGGTGATCATAGATGGCTTCGCTGCGATGGGATTCCCAAACTGCGGTGGGACTATAGATGGAACTTACATCCCTATCCTGGGACCGGACCACCAGGCCAGCCAGTACGTTAACCGAAAGGGCTACTTTTCAATGGTGCTGCAAGCACTGGTGGACCATAGGGGACATTTTACCAACATCAATGTTGGATGGCCGGGCAAGGTTCATGATGCTCGCGTTTTCAGGAACTCTGGTCTGTTTAGACGGCTGCAGGAAGGTATTTACTTCCCGGACCACAAAATAACTGTTGGGGATGTGGAGATGCCTATAGTGACCCTCGGGGACCCAGCCTACCCGCTAATGCCCTGGCTCATGAAGCCCTATACAGGCGCCCTGGACAGTGAAAAAGAACTCTTCAACTACCGGCTGAGCAAGTGCAGAATGGTGGTGGAGTGTGCTTTTGGCCGTCTCAAGGGGAGATGGAGAAGCTTACTGACTCGCTCTGATCTCAGCGAAACCAATATCCCCATTGTTATTGCAGCTTGCTGTGTGCTCCACAATCTCTGTGAGAGCAAGGGGGAGACCTTTATGGCGGGGTGGAAGGTTGAGGCAAATCGCCTGGCTGCTGATTACGCCCAGCCAGACAGCCAGGCGATTAGAAGAGCCCAGCGGGACGCGCTGTGCATCCGGGAAGCTTTGAAAGCTAGGGTTCCAGAGTGACCAGGGTAACCTGTGACTATTAAGTTTGTTTAAACAGAAGCTGAACCTGCCCCCGTTTCTTTACCCAGTTAATGTTGACTATCCTCTCCAGTTACCAACTCCCTTCCCCCCTTCCAACACACCTTTAAAAATAAAATAAATGAAACTTTGTTCATTAACACCGTTTTCTTTATTAAGGATTTCGTGGTAAAGTGTGGAAACTGGGACGCAGTCTGTGGTGGGGAGCGGGTGTAGTGATGGAAAGGACGCTTCTAAACTCGAGGAATGACAGGCTCCTGCTCCTAGAGCAGTCCGCAGTGGTTTCAACGGAGCCTGCCACCCCTCCTTTTCAGGACTCTGTGTGTGGGGGCTATGTGACTTTGTGGCGGGGGAGGGCGGTTACAGATCCCCTGCTGCGTGGCTCTGTCATCCAGGCTAAGGACTGCTGCATAAGATCTGTAACCGCCCTCCCCCACCACAAACTCACATAGCCCCCCCACACAGAACATGAAAACCACCTCCCAGACTGACCAGGGTGCCTAATGACTGCAATGTGTGTGTGACCTGCTGCTGAACCTGCCCCCGTGTCTGTACCCTGGTAAAGGTGACTGTCCTCTCCAATTACCAACCCCCTTCCCCCCCTTCAAACACACTCTCTTCTAAAAGAACATGACGGAAACAGTAATTAACAGAAACGTATTTTTTATTGACAACTACACAGTTAGGGGATGAAACTGGGGCGGGGGCTTGGGTGAGGTGCTTTTGGAGTGAAGGAAAGGACGTATCAAATCTTTGGGAATGAGAGCCTTCTGCTACTTGAGCAGTCTGCAGGGGTGGAGTGACTGTTTTCACGGCCCCTGCCGCCCCTCCTTCTTGGGACTTTGGGTGAGGGGGGGATGGGACTTTGTGGTGGGGGAGGGCGGTTAGAGATAGAATGCAGCGGGGCTCTGTCCTCCTGCCTCTGGTCCTGCAGAACATCTACAAGGCGCCGGAGCATGTCC